GTACTACTGTTTCATGAGAAACTATTTGTTCTGTAAGCCTTCACCTGAAGTACAATAAAATAAAATAAAATAAAAAAAGGCTATTGATTGTGAAGATAGCACAGAACTGGGCCACATTTTGTTCTGTTATACAGAAGATCTCCAGGAGTCGGAGCCAATTCGAGGGCAACTAACAACAACATGTGCACTGAGCCACGGGAGCCCGGGAGGTTCAGCGCCGGGTGAGACAGAGCTTACATCCAGGAGGCTCAGTGCCTTAAGGACCAGCAAGATTCCTTTTAGCAATAACATGTAATGACATTAACCACAAGATGAGGTTAATAACTCCCAACCCAGGGGTTTATTTTGAGGATTAACCATGATAGAGGTATTATAACTAAATATAAAAAACACAAAACGTAATGTTTATGCCCTTTGATTCAATGATTCCACTTCTGAGATGCTCTTGGGATACAGGAAATACTGGAAGGAAAAACTTTATTTGTAAAAAAGGGAAAACACTAGGAAACCTATAGTTCATCACCAACAGCCACAGGGATAAAAGCAAATACAAAATGGTTGAAATGGTTATAGAATAATATAGAAATGCCTGTGGAAAAAATGCAAATAGAAAAAAATTTGGAGAGAATCTTAAGATAACGTACTTTAAAAACGTACAAAACAACACAAATGGGTTATAGCACATTGAAATGATAATTGCAATTACGTTACCAAGGCCCATGAGACGACGGATAGATAACTTTTGACTCTATGTTTCCAACTTCTTATAATTTTTTTTTATCCTTCGGAAATTTATTTAAACAGTCCATGAATCCTATAGGTAGGGAAGAAAAGACAAAGACAAGTAGCAAAACCAGAGAGCTAACAGCCATAGCACTACCTCCACCTCCATTATTTCTTAGGTGTTTACTCCCTGCGAGCTGCTGTTCTTAGTACTTGATAAGTTCTAGCTCGTGTATAACTCACGGAAGGGCACAAAGCTAAATGGCATAGGGCTGCTTGTGTGTAACGAAAGCAACTGCTCTCTCATTCTCAGAAAATGTTCTGAGAATAGGCAGCGGTGACAGTTACACAACATCACGAATGGCACTTAATGCCATTGAATTGTACACTTAAAAAAGGTTAAAATGGTAACTCAACGGACTCCAAGAGATACTTGTAGGCCAGTGTTCACAGTAGCGTTATTCACAACAGCCAAAAGGTGGAAACAACCCAAGTGTCCATCAACAGCAGATGGATAAACAAAATATGGTATATACATACAATGAAATATTATCCAGACACAGTAAAGGAATAAAGGAGCCCTGGTGGGGCAATGGTTAAGCAGTTGGCTGCTAACTGAAGGGTTGGTGGGTCACACCCACCCAGCCACTCCATGGGAGAAATACTTGCCAATCTGCTCCCATAAAGATTACAATCTGGGAAACCCTGTGGGGCAGTTCTACTCTGTCATATGGAAAATCGACTCAACGGCATCCAACAATAACAAAGACATGAAATTCTGATACATGTTACAACTTGGATGGACCTCAAAAAACATGACGCTAAGTGAAATAAGCCAGATGATGCAAACGGAAAATACTGCATGATTCCCTGTCTTAGTCAGCCAGTGCTGCTATAACAGAAATACCACAAGTGGATGGCTTTAACAAAGAGAAGTTTATTTCCTCACAGCCAAAGTAGGCTAAAAGTCCAAATTCAGGGTGTCAGCTCCAGGGGAAGGCTTTCTCTCTCTGTCGGTCTTCTTCTCTTCTGTGTTCGCCCGGACTAGGAGCTTCTCTGTGCAGGGACCCTGGTCCAAAGGACGCGCTCTGCTCCCGGCACTGCTTTCTTGATGGTATGAGGTCCCCCTGTCTCTCTGCTCACTTCTGTCTTTTATATCTCAAGAGATTGCCTCAGGACACAGTCCAGTCTTGTAGATCAGGTCCTGCCTTACTAACACAACTGCCACCCATCCTCCCTCATTAACATCATAGAGGCAGGATTTACAACATACAGGAAAATCACACAGTACCAGGAATCATGGCCTAGCCAAATTGATACACACATTTTTTGGGGGAAATAATTCAAACCATGACATTCCCCTTACAGGAGATATCCAGAATAGGCACATTCATAGAGACAGAAAGTAGAATAGTGGCAACTGGGGAGGCAGAAAGGGGGAGTTATTACTTAATAGGTACAGAGTTTCTGTCTGGAGTGAAGAAAATGTTCTGAAAATAGACAGCGGTGATAGTTACACAATATCATGAATGACACTTAATGCCATTGAACTGCACACTTAAAAATGGTTAAAGTGGGAAATTTTATGTTATGTATAATTTTGCCACAATAAAAAAACTGAATTAAAAAAAAAGATACTTATTGAAAACACTTTGGGGTCACTTGAGGTGTTTCAAAGATGCAGAGACAAATGGGAAATAGAAATTCAGAAACTAGGATGAGGGTTAAGAATCCACCCACCCAAGCAAGCATTTATTTCCTAACTGCCTACTGGAGGCTAGGCAATGGGGAAGCAGATGTGAATAAAATGGAATCTCTGGTTTTTAAGAACTCTCGGTCTCCTTTCACCAAACCAAACCATTGCCGTCGAGTCAGTTCTGATTCATGGTGACCCCATGTGTGCAGAGCAGAGCTCCATAGTTTTCTTGGCTGTAATCTTTACGGAGGCAAATCACTAGGGCTTTCTTCCATGGAGCCGCTGGGTGCGTTCGAACCGACAACTTTAGATTTCTCATTGAGCACAAACCGTTTACGTCCCTCAAAGACCTCTAGTCTCTCCAGGACCCTATGTTGTCCAAACTGTGACACTTTTGCACATGAAAAGGCACGATAACCAGGTAAGAGGCCAGGAAACTTTTCCAGTTTCACCCTAAACCCCCTCACCCAGTGTAGCTCTCTGAGGGCAGGCACTGTTCGCACAGAACCTGGGATGGCCCTGCCCACGCTAGAGCACAGAACTCGAGTTTTACGGTCAGGGATTGGTTTCCAACTCTTCCCCCCACCTCACCCCACCCCACAATTTTAAACATTTCTGATCAAGTCTGTGAATCATAGGACAGGGTGACTCATTTCTTAAAGTTTCCCAGATGTAAATTCAAACGGTATTGATCACTTGGAGGTGGACCAAATACAAGCAGAGACAATGCAACTTGCTCTGTGTGTATTTGCAACACTGCAAACTACATCTGTGGTGAGGAGAGCTGGCAAAAGGAAACAACACACTATGCCTTTTTAAAACTAATTTAAGATGTATACCATGCCAATGATAGTCTTTTCATTCATTATGCTGTTTTTCGTTTCTATTTTAATGTGAAAAATGTGGGGTGGGGGTGGGGGAGTGGTGGTTCAGTGATAGAATCCTCTTCGCCTTCCATGCAAGAAACCCAGGTTCAATTCCTGGTCAATGCATCTCCTGCGCAGCCACCACCCATCTGTCGGTGGAGGCCTGCACGATGCTACGATGCTGAACAGGTTTCAGTGGAGCTTCCAGGCTAAGACAGACTAGGAAAAAAGGCCTGGTGATCTACTTCTGAAAATCAGCCAATGAAAGCCCTATGGATCACACCGGTCTGGGGTCGCCATGAGTTGTGGTCAACTCGATGACCGCCAACAACATCAACAATGTGAAAAATACTCGTGGTAATCTTCCGAAGCTTGGTTATAGGCTGAGAGCCTATAAAATTAGGTTTTCCCATGTAAGAAAGGGAAAGGTGAAGGAGGCTGACGGTTGAGCACCTACTGTGGAGTCTCATCTCATATAGACGCAGCAGGGCAGGAAGCAAGGCCAGGAGAGGCTGAGTCACAGGTCAGCAGTAGAAGAGCCCACAGACTCAGGGCTCGTTCCCGTGCAAACCTACTCGACCGGGGAACCTGTAACCAAAGGGGTGTCCAGGAACGGAAATCCGCAGGAGAGGCACAAAGCAAAGGGTTGGAACCAAGAACACCAAACCCCCAGGACCTTGCCAGCCTACAGCTTCCAGGTGCCTTTCACACCCCTTCACCCTGACCTTTCACGTGAGGAAAGGCGTGGTGACCTCAGACCCAGGTGTAATGCCAAGACAAGGGGCCAGAACTCTCAGCCATCATGGGAAAGCCTGACTGGGTCTCAGGGACACCCGCCGGCAAGTGAATCAGAGCTGTGACCCTTGCGGCCCTGAGCCTCAAAGTGGGGAAATACCCTTTCTCCTTGACTCTTCTGCACAGCCGTCCCCAGAGCCGAGAGGAGAAAACTCTCGCTATGAATCATGACAGCTGAGAACCCTTCTCTGGGCCTGAGAACCCGCTGAGGGATGGGATGTGTCATCGGACTAGGGTGGCTGCATGTTTCTCATGTGAAACGAGAGGACTTCACGGGTTCTGGTGGTCTCATCAATTCGTGATATGATCTATCTGCAGGTGACAATACTCAGAAATGCCACATGAAACACCCACAAGTGAGTGTGGTTTTTAACTTTTTTTTTTTTTTTTTTTAAGTGGATATCTGGCTAATTGGACTCATGATGTTCACAGATAGAAGTCCAGAGAGGATAAATGACTTATCTAAGAACATACCACTGAAACTAGAACTCAAGAGTCCATAATCTCTTTCCTCAACACCATACTGTCTTGCTTAAAACAAAAAGACCAAACAAAGCAAAAGAAAAAACTATTCATTTTAATTGGATGATGAAGTAATAGGAAAAATAAAGGAGTAAGATTCAAAGGCAATACTTTCCTGGCCAATCCCGGGCCCCCTGCGCCATTGCTGGGCCAGGTTCTATCAGGAATTGCTCCCCTAACACATGAAGGTAAGTGGGCAGACAATACATTCTTTATGTAAAACCCAGGGGCACTGTGTAAGCCTGTTATTCAGAGTCCAGGAGCTTAAAGGGGTTCACTGAGCCCATTGTGAAGATGAGAAAAATAAGGCCAAGAGAGAGGAAATGACCTGTCCAAGGAAAGCCAACTGGTGACTGGCATAGCCAACAACAGATCCAAGGCCACTCACTAGCCTGTCCCCTGAGATCCGTGCACCATGCCCTTCCCTAGATTCTGTGGACAACAGAATTCTTATCTCTCTGTCAACCCTTAGCATCACACACAATTCTTTCTACTGGTTCCACACAACCTCCAAGGCACTGGGCTGATTTTGACACACTGTGTTGTAGCTACCAAAAGATAGCAGTGGAGAGAAATCCCGAGAGTACGGCCCCTGGTCACCCTTTTAATTCAGTACAGAAGTCACTCCTGAGGTTCACCCTTCAACCAAAGATTAGACAGGTGTATAAAACAAACAATAACACACATAGTTCAACCACTTATACGAGACTAAATGGGCACTCCAGCCCAAAAGCAAACACGAGAAGGTAGGAAGGGGCAGGAAAGCTGGACTAATGGAAACTGGGAAGCCGAGGTTGAGAAGGGGAGAGCGCTGACACATCTTGGAGTTGGCAACCGATGTCACAAAACAATACGCGTATTAATTGTTTAATGAGAAACTAATTTGCTCTGTAAACTTTCACCTAAAGCACAATTAAAAAAAAAAAGACAGCAGTGGACATGGCAGGTTTGTCAACATCCACATGAGAAGGGATCTTAAACTATAATGAATGTGAAAGCAGATAAAGAATTTACTAATTTGGCCTAAATAAAAGGTAGTATGTCCACATAGTGTATGAAAACTTTGTAATAGTTGAAAAGAACAAGGCAACTAACATAAATACGACTCCTTGACATATTGATGAATAAAAAAGGCAAGTTGCAGAATAATCATTTATCACAGGTCTACAAAATAGTACTGCCTACTCACTAACATTTATTTTTAACCCCCAA